AAATAAAAAAACAGAATCACTGAGTTGGAAAAAGGATCAGCCCCCTCACTGAAGCGTTACAAAGAGTCCAAATCTTCAGTTCTCATTCTGCAAGATCTATCTGCTGCATTCAACACTGTTAATAATCAAAATCCTTCTGTCCACCCTCTCATCGCTAGGCATCACCGGAGCGGCACTCCACTGGTTTGAGTCTTACCTCACAGGTAGGTCCTTCAGGGTGTCTTGGGGAGGAGAGATATCCAAATTACATCAACTGGTCACTGGGGTTCCTCAAGGATCAGTTCTTGGGCCCCTCTTCTTATATACACTACATCACTGGGACCCATCATTCAGGCACATGGTTTTTCCTACCATTGCTATTCTAATGACATGCAGCTCTACCTCTCATTTTAGTCAGATGATCCAACTTTTTGATTTCAGACTGCCTGACGGACATCTCAGCATAGATGAAAGAACATCCTCTACAGCTCTACTTGGCAAAGACAGAGCTTCTCATATTCCCAGCCACCCCATCAGTACAGCACCAGTTTACCAGCCAACTGGGCTCCTCAACGATAACCCCATTGTGTTCGGCCAGGAATCTTGGGGTGATTATTGATGATCAGCAGAACTTTAAAGATCATATTGCAAAAACAGCAGGATCATGCAGGTTTGCACTCCACCACACCAGGAAGATCAGACCTTTCCTAACAGAGCATCCATTTCAGTTCTTGGTAGTGCAACTGAAACAAACAATCAACTATGGGTAGCAAAGCACTTTCAAAAGATCAATAAAATTGTGGACATGCACAAGTCAGGAGATGGAAACAAAAAAATGTCAAAGACTTTATCAATGCCTAGAAGCACAGTAAAGTCTATTAGTAAGAAGTGAAAGGTATTTGGTACAACACAGACCCTCCTTGGATCAGGACCTCGCTCCAAACTAGATGAAAGAGCCAGGAGGATACTGGTCAGAGAGGCGACCAAGAGCCCTACAGCAACTCTGAAGCAGCTGCAGGAATTTATGACAAAGAGTGGTCATTGTGTGCATGCGACAACAATATTACAAATTCTCCACAAATGTGGCTTGTATGGGAGGGTTGAAGAAAAACGCCACTCCTCAAAGGCAACATGCAGTCAGACTGAGCTTTGCCAAAACACACCTTGAAGATTCTGAGGCAGATGAGACTAAAATTTAATTATTTGGCCTCAACACCAAACGATATGTCTGGCGGAAATCCAGTCCAGCTCACCCTCCAGCATTCCTCCCGTAAATCATGGAGGTGCTAATCTCCTGTTATGGGTGTTTCTCTGCAGCAGGGACTGGAGCACTTGTCAGGATAGAAGGAAAATGGATGGGGCAAAATACCGTCAAATGCGACAACAATATTACAAATTCTCCACAAATGTGGCTTGTATGGGAGGGTTGAAGAAAAACGCCACTCCTCAAAGGCAACATGCAGTCAGACTGA